CGTAGAGTGCTCAGACTAACCACCAAGCTGAAGTTCTATCGGGCGGTGGTATTGAGCATCCTACTATATGGCAGTGAAACATGGACTGTGTATCAGAGGCACGCCAGAAAGCTTAATCACTTCCATCTATGCTGTCTCCGCCGGCTCCTCCATGTTAAATGGCAAGACAGAGTTCCTGACACAGACGTTCTCAAACGTGCTGGTGTCCCTAGTGTATACACGCTTCTCCAGAAAGCACAAGTCAGATGGGCCGGTCACCTCGTGAGAATGCCAGCTGATAGAATACCGAAGCAAGTTCTCTATGGTGAACTTAGTGAAGGTAAACGATCGGTTGGATTGACAGAAGAAACGTTTTAAAGACTGTTTAAAACTATCCCTGCAAGAGTTCGACATCAACCATGTGAACTGGGAGTCGCTCGCCCAGGATAGATTTCTTTGGAGAACGAAGGTCCGGCAGGGTTTGGTGACAGTAGAATGTAAACGTCGATTGGTTGCCGAGGGGAAGCGTGCAGCTCGGAAGGATCGGGTGCGGTCGACTCAGAACGGGACACCAAGCCATATATGCCGGGAATGTGGTCGAGGCTTCCTGGCTCGGACAGGACTCCTGAGCCATCTCCATATCCACAGATAGACCATATGATGTCGTGGTCTTCTTCGAACTTCGAAGGACGAACTACAACTCATGTACATCCATGAGTTAGTGCAGTCCAGAATGGGCATATTAAAGAATCAAATATATCATAGGGAGAAACCTACTGGAGATCTTGCAGAACACTATATTTCAACAGAGTGTGTTATTTGCCATGGATATAGTGTTTTATTATTTCCTTTTGGCCTTACAGTGCAGATTTGAGATATAGGAAGCATTCTTGGATAAACAATGCTTGGTACTGAGTGGGATCTGAATTCTAAATGGGACATGTCCCTGGAAGGAAATATATATATATATAAATATATATATAGAAAAGATACCTGACCCAGTTATAGCTGCACCGAAGTTTGATAGATAGCAACAGGCAGAAGATGGTACCTCGACAAGGAAGAAACAGCTACTCAATAAAGATAGTGGGAGATGAATGTAAGAGAAGTAGTCTACATGCCTGACTGAAGAGTTTCCTCTAATGGACAATGGAGGTGAGACTTCTGGAAAAAGGGAAGGTGCCAGACCTTAAGGAAAATGATTGGGAGGAAAAGACTAATTGAAGCAGTTCACAATCCCAAATCATAAGGGTAGAAGAAGTAAGGCCACGTACAGATTAGTGGTGCCAGGGAATGAAACGGGATCCACTAAAGGAGACCATGCAGGCAATGGAACAATGAGGAGCATATCCTGGACATAGCAATTTATCTGGAGTAGACCAGGAATAATGGTTGAAAGGGGACAGAAGAGAAAAAGACAAGAAGGAAGATTGACCTTCACAAGCCGCTAAAGTTTTGAGTAAGAAAAATCAATCCTGAAGAACCGCACAAATAAGATGCTCAATGACTTTGGAAGGTACATAGATGGAACTGGCTGATCCAGTTCAGACTGAGAAAATCCACTGTCAGGGTCAAAGGATGAGGAACCAGAGACTAGAAAAAGAAGTAATCTGGTGTTGGAGTAAAGTGGCAAAGCATCCAGATGAGGAGTACCCCACTGTTTGCATAGCCACCTGAAACCTGAGGGTTGAGAAACCATTCCATGGGATAAATTTGGTTGGGTCTTGAAAAATGATCTGCTAGATGGCAAAAAGAACCCATAACATAATACACAATGAAATTTATCTGCAGTGTGTGGGCCCTATAAAGGAGTTCAATGTTTGACCACAAAGGAAAGAGTAACAGGTGTTCCCATAGTGATTGATATAGGCCACAACAGTTGAATTATCAGAATGGAGCCTGACATGTTGGTACTGTACCAGTGGAAGAAAATGAACCAAAACATGTAGTTCCACCATAAGCTCCAAAATGTACTGCTGAGTTAGAAAGCCAGTTAAATTATAGTTGTTTTAGGATATTCTATTCTACACCTTTGTATATGTTTTGTGTTCTAAAACCTATAGTTGAAAGATCCAAGAATTTTTATTTGAAGAACCAGCTTTGAGAAAAAATTGAGACTTAACTCAGTTCTGACTTGCACTCCCAAAGGTCATGCAGGTCACAAATTTCACTCATAATATTTACAACTCACTGCTATTCACCTCTCACAGTGTTCATTGTTTTTTGACAGGAGGTACAAATAGGTACAAAATAAAACAATAAAACCATAAATTTACAGCAAATAGATATTAAAAGGTTAACAGTTGAAATTTTGAAGGTAATAATGACACGAAAGAAAGAAAATTATGCATCAAAAGAAAAAGTAGAAAGAAACTGTTAATCTTATTTTGAACTTTTCAACTTTTAATTTCATTGTACATTGATCATGAATGATGATTTCACTACAGTTAGTGTCAGGATAGACAAAATAACAGATAACGTATAAAGTTTTATCGAAAATCTTTTCATATTCATTCAGAAGGTTCTAGAAGTTAAGCAAATGAAATATGAAAACTGTAGGATGCAAAAAGTATATTTATTCTTTGCACAAAAATTACACTGCACTCAGACTATTCAGAATCTGAATCAGAATTACTCAATAAATTCAAATACAATTCATTAGTTCAAATGCTTTATTAAACGTTCTGATTTTTGTGGAAAACGGGAAAACGTACTTTTCACAATCACTAAAAGATACTCAAATTTCATGAAGATATAAACAGTAACTTCAGAATTATTGTAAACATTAGTTCTCCAATACAACATCAGTCCACAGTTAAACAATTTGATTAAGTTGGACAAGATACTGTTGAAAACAACTGTTTGATATTATGCAGACAACAAAACAAAAACAACATTTGAGAAATTTTGTAAAAAATGATAAATATTTATTGTAAGTTCTCAAAAAGGGAGAAAAAATGTTATCTTTATAAAATTAATTGAAGTATCAATATCCAACATAATAGAGTACATGAAAATATTCTTTTATAGATGCACTTTTTCTGAGGAGAAAAAAAAAACAAACCTTTTTTTAATTTTCTTCTTTTACTGTCTAATTCTGCATTTCTCAGCTCATGGGCTTTCTTTGCTTTCAGCACTTTATCATATGCTGTCTGAAAGAAGTTGTAAAACTTCAGAAAAATACTTTACAGCTCTAAAATGCTCTTTTCTGTAACAAGCAATCATACACATGTAATGCTAGTTTGAAAAGAAAAACACTGATATAGCCCACTCATCTCAGATTGAGATTATACAATGAATTTATTCATCTTGATCTTCTTCTTGAACTTATACAGTATTAAAAGTAATTAGAAAAATGTGTGTGGTAATTCTTCAGACAGCTAACTGATAAAATATGGTTTCTAAGGCTAAAAATACATTGAAGTCAACTACAACTTTGCATCTGTCCCTTCATGTGCCACATAAAACTTATAGCTTTATTATAATTAAAGCAAATTACACTTATCTTACACACAACATTTGCTGAGGAATCTACTGAATTAAATAATTAATTCAAAAATATATGTAACAGAAACTTGTACAGTAGTCAAGTTCTGATTTTAATAATTAAAATGTTTCAACCCATAATATCAAGTCATCATCAAATAAGAGTTACATTCAACATTCTTTTCAAATGTAACTCTTACCTGATGATGACTGAATACTATGGGTCAAAACATTGTAAATATTAAAATCAGAGCTTCTCTACTATAAACGTTGCTGTTACTGTATCATGGGATTAACTATCTTACACATAGTTAGGATTCCTTATATTACCTACCTGTCTAAATGTCTATGAAGTCTGGCCTGTTTTTTTTATTTTTAAGGTAATATACTAATATTTTCCAGGTAAAAATAAATAAACACTGAAATAAATAAAGCACATTTCCTGGAATTTAAATACTTATCATCCTTAATGTTTAGTATAGGTTTTTATTGATTCATAATGTTAGAAAAACACACAGGTTCAAGAAGTCTTGATAGAAATGAATAAAAACCATATAACCCGAGTGCTTTCGAAAGGTGGACCTTTCTTCTTCAGGGGCAAACTGGGAATTGTGGTGTAATCGAATGAGTGGTATATATAAAGAGAGTATAGTGATGTCATCCAGTTTTTTGAGGAAATGTTTAGTCTATTTCTCTATGTGCTGTTGTAAGCATCTCATTTCCGGTACAGTGTAGCCAATGGTGAGGGTGTATGTGGAAAGGTGTTAGAGATATTTGACTTTAGAAATTGATAAATATATGTACATTTTAAAATATAATTAATTGTTTAAGTAAAATATGGCACCTGGAGACTCATTGAAAAAGATATGTTATGCTAATCAATTTATAAAAACAGGTATACAAAATTATCTTAAATAAATATTAAGTTTAGGAAATTCAGCATTCACATTACATGAAAAAAATATGCAAAGAATAAAAATTGTTTTTCTGACAGAGATGAAACCAATGAACAGAGATCACTGATTCCAGGATCTAGATTAATTCCAAAAGGTTGAACAGAGTTTAGATTTGCAATCCAATAAGCTTTTTTTATTTCTCTACCTGCTTTAGTTTTGAATCGTGTTTCAATACTGATAAGAGTAACATAGTTAATGGTATGGCCAGGTTGGTTAAAGTTTTGAGCAACGGGGAAATCTTTTTAATAGAAGATTTATGGTTGTTGAAACTTTCTCTGCGAGTTGTTTGTATATGTCCTACATATTGGTAATTGCATTTTTACACTGTATAAAGTAAATAGTGTTTTTGTTTCACAAGTGATTTCATTGGATATTTTAAAGTGTCATTGATTGTGATTCTCAGAAAATGAGTCAGTGGTTTTTATGAACTTGCAGGTTTAACAATGGACGACAAACATTTTTGGGTGGGATGTAATTCACTTTTATGTGAACAAGGATATCTTTTAGAGTTCTGCTTTTTCGGAAGAAGACAACGGAAACTTCAGGAAATATCTGTTTAAGGTGATCGTTCAGTTGTAGGAGATAAAAATGTTTTTTCAGAAATAGTGAAATATTTCTGAGTTTACACTGATAGGTAATAATAAGAGGAAATCTATTTGAAAGTTTAGTATTGCTCTGATTTAGAATGTTTTTCTGCTGAGTGTTGTTAGCTTTACAATTTGTCTGTTGATTTTGGTATCTTTATATCCTTTTTGTAACATGGTTTGTTTTCTGTAGTCTGTTTCATCTGAGCATATTTTCTTTATTCTAAGAGATTGACTGTAGATAATGTTTTGTTTAGTGTGAGAGGGATGACAACTTTTAACTATTAGTGAAGGTATTGTGGTCTGTCTGTAGGTTTTTTGTACAAGTCAGTTTTATTGATATTTTTCCATCTAACTAAATACATAACACCTTGTTCACTCTAAGACATTTTCTTTAAAGGTAGAACTAGAACATTATCAAGGTTTACCGTTGTCCAAGGTGACTAATAATGGCTAAAATTCCTCAAAACCAGTAAAAATTAATTAATATAGCAATGCCAAAAAGTGTGTCTTTTTTACAACTCTATAACCCTTCTTCCATACACATAGCAAGTCTAATTTTTAAGACAAGCACTGTTTAACCTATTAGTCTACATTAGTTAAACATATCAAGCAATTCATAAATTCTAAAATGTACAAACACTGAAGTTTATTACATGATGTTGCCAATCATTTATAGATATATATAATGACTTCAATATTTAATAAAAAGCCAATAAATACACATGTGCTTTCATTATTTGAAACATCTCTAGCTCTAAAACACCTTAAACATAATTAATAAAACACGGTATGTGGGTACTTCAAAAATTGCTGCATTTAACTAGAAAATAGCTATGCAATAATAACTTTCACATAGCAAATTTTGCTAAAGAACATGTTTTCTTCTTGTCATATAGATATAAAATTAGGTATATAACAGAATGTAATTATATCATTATAGAAATATTCAAAAGAAATCTGCTAAACTTTTTCTCTTGTATGGGAAAAAAATACTAGTTCTAATTAAGTACATCCAAGTGATTATAATATTCACTGAATTCTAACAACTAGTGAAAAATTCTCAAATTAAAACTTAATCAGTACTTATCAATATAATGTACCACTTAATCACCTAACAGAAATATGCAGCATTTTGAAACAAGTTTTACATAATAGTACTGAAGGTGAAGCCTGTATTTTCAATGAACATCATGCTCTATATACTTTAGCTGCTTCTTAATAATAGGCTTGTAACAATGTTTCCATAAGATAAATAAACATGTTAAATTGAACTCTGTATACAAAAAAAGTATATTCTAATATGTTTATAAAATGACTTGAAATCACTTTGCAAGCCTGGAATTAACTTGATCTAGCTCATTAAGCCAATAACTGAGAGCACTATGTTAATCCATTGTCAGTTATAATTTCAAATATAATTGGTAATTAATTAATTAATAATTATCAAGATATATTCAGAAAAGGATTTTCTTAACTTACTAGCTTGTTAAGAGTATTATATGGTGTTTACAATCTCTAGATGACGTTTTCAGTTTGAAAAAGACTAACCCTTTTGCAGCAGGTACCACTTTAACCCATTCACTGCAGATGGCATATATATTTCCCAGTACACAAAAGTATGAGCATGTCTCTCAAAGAAACTGCAATATGCCTCGAAGATGAGTAATAAGTGGTAAAGAACAAGAATGGAAAATAAAAGATTAAAATTTATTATATATGAAAAGGAAAAGACCTGAAATGACAAATATAAGCAAAACAACATCTGTAAAGATATTCCACAAAAAATTAAAAGGTACACACTTTTTTTTTATTTCTTAATTTTAATCATTTCATTGCATTGTACATTGATGATAATAGCTAGAGTTAGTGATTTGAAAAACAACATATAAACATTTACCTTTAAAAATGTTAATACTAATTTAGGAAATGTTAAAGAAATATGAAAGCTATAAGATGAAGACAAGTATTTTTATACTAAAAATCACCTTGCACTCAAACTACTTTAACAGTGTGGGTATGATTAACTACTATAGATAAACAACATTTTTATTAGAAAGATGTAATTAGAATGATATCATTCTTTGTATATAAAATACTTAAACTTTAACAAAATTTTACGAGGTTTTGTGAGGAATGCACAGAGTTACCATATTTTAGTTGTATAAATGTCTTTCCCTAGTCACATTCTTCTCAACCACAAAGTCAAACTACAAAGCTCATTGGGTCACTCTTTAAAAGCATATGGTGATAACAAATGTCCCATTCTGACAGAATTCTTTACACATAGGATTTAGTTGCTACTGTTTGTTTAATGAAATTAATTATTTCTGTTGACCTTTTACTTAACTAGTGCATTAATTCCTTATGTCAGTTATCATGTCTTCATTTTCGCAATTTGGATGATCAATTCCTTACATCTTTAGCCTTGTTTAGCTCAATTGCTAAGAACTATTCATTGTGTCTTTATGATGTACCTGGTTAAACAAACAGGATTAATTCATTATGTCTATTTGATCCTAGATTGTTTGACTAGTAAAAGTAATTAACTTTTATTTATTTGGTAATTCTTTAATGCAAAGCCTCTTCATCTTACAATTTCAGTTTCTTAGAAGTAATTTTCATGTTAATATGATATATTAATCATACATTACTTATTCATGACAAAAAACATGACCACTCTCTTATTTAATCTTTACAGATGTCTCAAAATGTCAATAGGTAAGTATAAAAACAATTATACTTCAAAGAAAACTCAGCTTGTTTATTCTAGGTCTACGAGGCCTGTGAGAAAAGTATCCGACCTTTGGCCGGGGAATAAAAACTGGCA